CTGCTCAGTCTCTGCCTCGTCCGAGACCCCCCGGCAAGGCCTCGGACGCGCCATTCCTTCTCCACCTCGGCCGAGGCCGGGCTCGTCCCGCATTCTCGTCGCCTCCGCCTCAATTGCCCCTCTAGCGGGCCGTCCCATCTGTGTAAGTATCCCTAGTTATGCCTACGTCAGCCATGATTGGTAGGGTATGGCAAAAAGGGCGATGGGATGGCGGTCAAATCACCTTTTTACCATCCCCTACTGATGGTGCAGAGACTACGGCTCCCTGCGGACGCCCATTCCGCACTTTTTCACCGGAATTGGGTACGACACAGACCACCGAGACCCCTCGTCGTACACAGGTCACCTCCGAGGCCTCGGCAAAGAAGGCCTCGGCACGATCAGCTCCAGCACCCGCTAGGCCTCGGCACTCCACCAGGCATGGCATGTCACCTACAGTGGAGGCCATACTGACTAGACGTCAACAAGGACTCTTACGACTTCAACAGCCTCGGGCATGGCCTGCGTGACGCACTGGTGATCAAGTACCAATTGCCATTCCCGACACTGTGTTGCTACAGGAATAGGCCACAGTACTGGATCTTCCTTTCTCGCTAAGGCTCCACGTGTAGCTCTCTCATGTACTCCTGGCTCCCTCCTTGTGGCTATAAAAGGAAGCAACCAGGGCCGTTTCTAGGGATCAAAACCACGCCAGCCCTCACGCAAAAACGCACTCACTCAATTCACGCGCGCGCCCACGCTGCCTGAGAGCAACGACTCAAGCAGTCCGCACCATTCCACGCAGAGACCTGGGACTAGCTCCCTCTCTCACCCAGCTTGTAACCCCCTACTACAAGCACTTCGGTGCAGAGAATACAAGATCGATCTCCTAGACTGGACGTAGGGCGCCGATTGCCTGAACCAGTATAAACCTTATGTCTCTTTGCATCACCATCCGGGATTAGGGGCACGCAGTTCACATTTACTGGTTGGTTGAGGACCCCCCGGTCCGAAACGCCGACACGGTGGTTCTGTGGTTGTGAGCTAGTGAACTTGATCGATGTTGATTCACTTAAGAAGAACTCTCTTCTACGTTGGAGGGAGCGCATCCCTTTTATAGATAAATGGGATGGCTTTACAAGTGAGAGGGTGAGGGTACGTATGCTACTGGGCTTTGTTTGCCCATGTCGGCGGGTACAAGATAATGGTAGGCGCCCACAACACTGTTGATGTCACTGTAGAATGTCAGATGCATGTGGGAGGTTGAGTTGCCTTCTTCAGGAATGGCAGATGTCGGTACCTGTAAATATTGCTGATGCCTAGAGACATGTGAGAAGTTTCACCACGTTCACCCGGTACGGTAAATCCTCGTGCCCACAACACTATCGATGCCCAGAGGCATGTGGGGGTCCTTACCGTCTGGGAGTTAATGGCGCCCACAATACTATAGAGGGAAATGTCGATGCCTACAATACTGTTTGTGTCGGGCGGTTGCAGAGTACTGTTCCCGCAGGCGTACAGGGTATGGTCCCTGGTATCGTGGTTTTACTTGTGCGCCCTGACTTGCTTTCTCCGCTTGTCCCCTGGTCCTTTCCGAGCGGACGTCCCCGGTCGGATGGCCCCAGTCGACTCTGGTTGCGCCAGTCGGAGAAGAGCGGTGAGTAGGGCTTCTGTGAACCCCGATCGGAGATGCGGGGTCGAAGTCGGAAGTAGTGCTTGGGCCAGGCCTTCCGATCGGAGAGGCCGTCCAGAGACAGCTGGAGTCTGAAGTGGGCGCTCCGGTCGGAGAGGTGGGCCGAAGTAGTCGACGAGCGGGTGCTGCTCCTCTTCGGCCAGACCTTTCGGTCGATGACTGGACCGTCCTTTCGGCCTGTTGTTTTAGATTCTTGGGCCGGCCCATGAGTTGCGTGCTGTCTGTTTGGGCCGAGCCTTGGCGTGGAAGCCGGTCCCCAAGGGACCCCGGGTTTATGAAACTGACACAAGCCCCCGAGCCCCCGAGCGATTCGGGCAGAATCGTTCGGGGGATTTTTATCCTGACGGCGGGTGCACGCGAGCGCACCCGCGGATGTAGCCCCCGAGCCCTCAGGCGGTCGATACCAGAGACAGAGAGGACCAGAGAGCATGCAGGGAACTGGGAAGGGCAGTCGATACAGTACTATGTGAGTGCAAAACAAAAAGTCAAGCCCTGTTCGTTTGGCTGAAATTTAGCTTACGCTGCTGCTTATATTGATTTGTCGTAAGAAAAAAAATAGTACGTTCGTTGAAAAATACTGCTGAAGTAATGCTGAAAAATACTGCTTATGCATGTTCAAACATCATGTCCATTATTTATTTATCCTTGATCACTACATAACCCTCTTAATTCATGATGAAAAATTTCTATCACGGATAAAAAAAACATCACAAAACAGTATTTGCAATGGTTTCGGATATCATCATGGATGCAGTGGCGGAGCTAGAGCAAAGTCAAGGGGTGCGCTAGCCTTGTGGGTGCATAGATTTTTATCGTATGGGTGCATATGTGGTGAAAAATTGAACATAATCACTGTTTTTTAGATTTTTCGTGGGTGCGGCCGCACCCACAACCATGAACATGGATCCGCCCATGCATGGATGTACGACTCGTAAGTATGGAGAGATTTATTAGTGTGGGTCAGTTCGCTGGTCTGGATTCATCCAGCCAGCCGGCTGATCCTCCTCACAGTTTACTATTCACCAAACCAGTCGAACAGTGTTTTTCTCTCACAACAAATCAGCCGGAACAGTATTTTTCAGTCAAGTTTCAGACCAGCGAACGGGGCCTGTGTTGATTGGTTTCTTGGCGCGACATAATCCAGGCTAGGGGCGAACTGGTGTGCTTCCTCCGTCCTCAAAAGAATGCAATTCTAGAATAGTGTCACGTGTTATTATATCAACTTTGACAAATTATAAATAAAATATATAAATATTTATAATATCAATTAAATATCATTATATTAATTACAAAATGTATTTACATAATAAATTATTTTGGAGTCATTCATGTGAATACTTTCTCCATCCCAAATTATAAGACGTTTGACTTTTTTGACACTAAGTTTGACCACTCATCTTATTCAAAAATTTGTATAAAATATCACTTCTTTTGTCGTGTCTTGCTTTATTAATAAAAGTTCTTAAAAATGACTTAAATTTGACTATATTTGCATAAATTTTTTGAATAAACCGAGCGGTCAAACTTGAGGTAAAAAAAAATCAAACGTCTTATAATTTGGTATGGAGGAAGTACTGTTTACTAGAAACTTAGTTAAATGTGAATCAATTTACGTGGCACGTAACCCATAAGTTGCATTCTTTCTAGGACGGAGATAGTATGTACTCACTCTGTCTCTAAATATATGTCATTTACGCTTCCCGAGAAACAACTTTAACTAAATATATTAATATATATTAAAAAATATTAATATTTATAGTACATAATTAGTATTATTGGAAATATCTTTGAATCTAGTTTTTTAATAAATTTATTTATAGATGTAAATGTTGCACGCATTTTTTATAAATCGAGTCAAGTTTGTGGCACGCACACCAACGATGACAGATATAAAGGGCCGGAGGGAGTAGGCCACAACCACAAGACGTACGGGTGGCCTGATTCTGTGCTCCGTGGAAAATCCATACATATCTCTGCGTTGCTGTCCAGATTCCATAATCCATACGACGACGCAAAAATGCTACCAGTAGATAGCTAGCGGTTCGTTATCGGCAAGACCAGCACGTTATTATAGTAGCGTAATAGCGTTCCTGTCAGCAGTCCTAGAAAGTTATAGTAGCTAGCCTGCCTGTCAGCAGTGCTAGTTAGCTAGCAGCGCAAGTCATAGTAGCGTGCCTTGATCCTCCATCGGTGATCCGTGCAAGGAATGCTGGTTACCAAGTATGCATTTGTTTATTATGGCAAATGGAGCCAATATACAGTGTGATTAGCCAGCCTGGGAAGCAGCAGCACGAACAAGCTGCTAAGGAATCTTATTAATCTGATCTGATCTCGATGGATCCACAATGCCAAACTAAACACTGTGACTGAGACGTCCAAGTACGGGCCTCCAACTTTGTTGAAACAAGAGAGACCCATGTAACAGTGGCCAGTGGGTGGTCTAGTGCAGACACAACAGGCGATAGAAGCATGCAGCTGTGTTGTCAGTAAATTTATGGTCATGCAGTTAGTTTTCACCATCAATCAGCTTGCTCTTCTGGTTTACTACTGCTACTTCTGATGACTACTCCCTCCGTTACTAAATAACTGTTTGCATTAGTGTGCGTGCCATAAGTTTGATTTGATTTATAAAAAATACGTGCAATATTTATATCTTCAAATAAATTTATTAAAAACTAGATTTAAAGATATTCTCCAATAATATTTTTAATATATATTTAGTTAAAGTTGTTTATCAGAAAACGAAAACTGAAGTAGGGGAAATTGCACTGTGCCTGCAAGTCCTGCACGGCTACTAGCTGACGATCGATAGGCTTGCCGATCTTGGCTAGAACGTTGCACAGACGACAAGCAACACACTGGATGATGCATATATGTAGCTGCATAGTACACATCAGCCCATTAATTTAACCTTTTTTTTGTTCCATTTCTCACCCCCATGGCTATAACCAACCTCCACTGACATGTCCATATATACTCTAGTTCACATATTCATCCATCCCTTCAAGCAAGAGAACTACAGTGACTGTGACTGGCCCGCCTGGCCGTCCTGGTCCACTGGCCAGACTCCCTGCGAAATCGGGTGTATCATTAGCTATTGGGTGTGCATGGCCCATTGCTTTTCCTATAAATACCACAAGCTCAAGCTGTCACGCATCGGCAGTTTGGCACACAGCCTACGCGGCTACGCGCACCCACTCTCCGCTCGGCGGTTGTTCTTTGCTCGCCGCTCTTTGGAGCCCACCTCGGCCTCTCGCTCGCTCGCGCGTGCCGGCGTGCGTGCCTTTGGTGGCCCATGGGGAGGAGGATAAAGAGTGGCCGACGCACCATGCCGCCGCCGCCGCCGCTGTTGCTTCTTCTCCTCGTCCTCGGCGTGTCGCTGCAAGGACGATGCATTGCGCAGGGCCAGGGCGGGGGCGGAGGAGGAGGTCTCACGCGGGGGAGCTTCCCCAAGGGCTTCGTCTTCGGCACCGCCGCCGCCGCTTACCAGGTCGGTGGGTTCTGTCGCCATCTCTCTTCCTCGATCGTCTTCCCCAAGGAATGGCGGTTTCTTGGTTGGTTGTTCTCCGTTGCACTGAGACGTACGCTTTGTTGTGGTGTATGGATGACCCTGATCTGCTCAGTACTTGGAGCGACCCTGAGTAATCCTTCGATCGATCACGCGAGTGGTAGTATTTGCATTCTTCTCTTGGACTTGCTTCACGGCCAGATATACTCCTATATGGTTTTTCAAAACAGCTGGCACCAGTAACCAATTGCCGCTACAAAAATCAAGCTAAGGGGAGATGAATTACTCCGAGAGGACCGCGCAATGGAAGGACGAAGAAGACAAAAGAAGTCCGCGCTTTTCCTTTCTGATGACGAGTGACGAGTGCCCGACTGATGCCCGACCGATCGAGTGCGATATGATTATTCTTCCCCTCTCTGGCTTTCTTGTTCTTGCCACAAAGACACAAAGTTGTATTCTTGTCTTGTGGCCTTGGGTTTGCCCGTTTGCCTTTGGATCCTTCTTCTGATTTGTTATATGCTGCATAAAATACTACTAGCTTGCTCCTATCCAGCGGCCTATTTCATCCACCTCTAACATAACTGTCAGTATACGCGTCGCAGTCGCACCGTCGCACGTACGTATACGGCAAATTTGCACTCGATGGACGATGGGCTCTGCTGATGAAAACATTTCCGTCTCCAGCCTCGAAACCGAAGAGCACAGCTGCATCTTGGGCGGCCAGTTGTATGCTCGACCTGTTTTTTTTTTTTCAAATACTACTACTTGCGTACAAAGTATGCGGTATGCCTAAATCTAGGCTACCAGTGCCATCAGACTAAACGATCGCAGATAATCTAGAGAGCTGGCCTGGCCCACAGGCCCAGCCCAATGGCCGGGGGTGGCAGGTGGTGCCGGGTCCAGTCGTGGAAGATTCGACGGGAACAGAACGACAGGAATCCTGGGCGTTCACGGTTCACGTGCCGCGTCCGTTTGCGTCGAAACAGGCTCGGTACAAGCAACCCGCACCGCCTGCCGTGCCCGTGCGTGGCCACGGCCCCACCCCACCGCCCGCCACGTGGCACCGACGGACCAACCTGTGAGACTCTGAGGCTAGTCTGAGCAGAGCAGGACCCACGGACGCACGCACGCCGACGCCGGCCGGATTGCCTGCCGGTGCCCACCCGGTCACCGCCGGCCACCGCAGCCACGGAGGCAGGCCCGGAGTTCAGCTCGCTGCTCGCCTTACCCGGTTACCCCCACCCCGCCGTTCGGCACATCGATCGGCGATCGGCGTCGAAACGAAACGGGTTTGTTTCATGAAGAAGTGTCTTTCTTTTTAACAGTTGTTGCATGGAAGCAAACACTAGACAGACTGCTCGTCTGCTGTTTACTGCCAGCCTGACACAGCCCATTGCCACATCTTCGATTCTGATCTGAACAAAATGTTTTGCAGTACGAGGGAGCCGTCAATACGGATGGCAGAGGACAGACAATCTGGGACACGTTTGCGCACACTTTCGGTATGTATATATGCGCTGAGTTTTCTCTGGTTGCACTTGCACAAGCAGATGATTCTTTCTTCTTACGACCATCGTTTTGTTTTTTCCCTGGCATTTGGCGTGCCTTGTAAATGTTTGGAACTCTCTCACTTTTTTATAATTTATATACTATATGCAAGTAACTGGATATGAAAACTCGAGTCCCATAAACTTGCATGGTGCAAACTTGCACGCTTGCTCTCCTTTCCGGTTTTCTGTCCTTTCTGTTCTGCTCACCTTTCCCCTTCTTTCACTGTCGCTTAACCCTGCCTTTCCTGGTAAAATTCAAACCCACAATAGAAGGCTTCTATGGTTAAGGATAAACATCTACATTTGCCATGGCTACACGCCTTGGCAGCTGCACCTGCACAGCTGCACTAGCTGCCATTATCTGGGCTAACAAAAATACAAAATCCCGGTTCCATTTCTGAAGAATAGTGTGGCAGTACGACCATTGGCCCACCGCACTTATAGTATGTTGCCTGTCCACCTGTGCCATATCACCATGCGAGTATATGTGGCGCATGCATTCTTCCTTTTGCTAAAGTTGGACGCATAGTGCAGCAAACAAGACCGCAATTGTGCTCGTGCGAGGTGATATGCTCCACCTACATCATTCCAATGAGTGCATGGCTCATCATCTGTGTTAGCCCACATGATCATCGGCTTAGTAAATCGACCACTCACCAGTCTTGCTAACCACGACCGAGTCACGATAGATGCTGTCCGACCACACACTATGGTCAGAGATAGAAGAAGAGGGAGAACAGAGCATACACACACAGCAGAGACCCCAGTGTTGGCCGGAGCCCTATATAGGAGATGACAAATCTGAATTCTCTTTACTGAGTTGCAGTGGCAAATTATTTATACAACTCTATCAATCTAGTCCTAATACAGCTGCCCTACTGCAACAGTGACTAGATAACACAGCAGGGCTGACTCTGGCGCCTGTCCCTGCATGTGGCTACAGTCCGGCAGATGAGCCGTTCGGCGCCTAACTCTGCAGCGGCTACAGTACCACAGCAGGGGGCCTTTTCGGCGCCATCTTCCCCTGCCGTGCGTTCATACAAGGAAGTAGTAGATTATCTAACAATTCTTTACATAATCCTACTGCTAACCCTTGTACCCCTCCATGCCGATCATCTCCTTCAGCTTCGTGAGTCGAAGACGTCCGAGCGGCTTGGTGAGGACGTCCGCGAGCTGCCGACCAGTTTCGACAAACTCGATGACGATCTGCCCTCTATCGACACAGTCCCTGAGGAAGTTTAACTTCACGTCGATGTGTTTGCTCCGGTCGTGCAGAACCGGATTCTTCGCGAGGGCGATGACGGGCTGGTTGTCCACCATCAGTGCTGGTGGGTGAGCTTCCACACCGGTCCGCTCGCCTAGCAGCCGGTGTAGCCACACAACTTGACATGCCGCTGTGGCCGCTGCTACGTACTCAGCCTCGCACGTAGACAGTGCCACCACCTTCTGTTTTAGCGACAGCCACAAAATTGGAGTTGACCCGAGGAAGACGAGCACGCAAGAGGTGCTCTATCGTCCGTCGATGTCCCCCGCCATATCTGCATCGCTGAACACAGTAAGCTGCAGCCTACTTCAGCCAGTCTTGGGGAAGATGATTCCCTGATCCACCGTCCCCTTGACGTAGCGCAGTAGCCGCTTCACCGTAGCCCAGTGATCCTCTCTGGGATCCTCCATGAAGCGACTGACGTGGCCCACGACGAACGCAATATCCGGCCTCGTGCGGACTAGCGCAGTAGCCGCTTCACCGCAGCCCAGTGATCCTCTCTGGGATCCTCCATGAAGCGACTGACATGGCCCACGACGAACGCAATGTCCGACCTCGTGTGGACTAGGTAGCGCAGACCGCCGACAATGCTCCGGTAGAGTGTTGCATCCACCTTCGCCGCGGTGCTGGCCTTCTTCAGCCTTAGCCGCTCCTCCATCGGAGTCACGCATGGCTTGCACTCAGCCATGCCGCTCCGCTCCAACAGCTTCGAGGCATACGTGCTCTGAACGAGCGTGAGTTCCTCCTTCCCCTATCTCACCTCGATGCCGAGGTAATAGGAGAGTGCGCCGAGATCGCTCATTTGAAAACGAGCCGCCATCTCATGCTTGGAGCTGTCAATGTCCTCCGCACGCGTGCCAGTGACGATCAAGTCATCCACATACACGCCGACGACGAGCTCCTCCTTCCCCCGTCGCCGCGTGTATAGCGCATGCTCGGTTGCGCACCGCTAGAACCCAAGCTCGCCCAACGTGGCGTCAAGCTTGGCATTCCATGCTCGTGGGGCCTGCCGCAGCCCATAGAGCGCTTTGTGCAGTCGGAGCACCCTGTGCTCCTCTCCCTTGACGGGGAAACCCGGAGGTTGCCTGACGAAGACCGTCTCCACCAGCTCGCCGTTGAGGAAGGCTGATTTAACGTCCAAGTGATGGACGCACCAGTCCTTTGCTGCTGCCAAGGCTAGTAGCAAACGGACAGACTCTATGCGCGCTACTGGCGCAAAGACTTCCTCGAAGTCAATGCCCTCTCACCGAATAAAGCCTCAGGCGACGAGGCACGCCTTGTGCTTGACAATGGCGCCGAGCTCGTCCCGCTTGACCTTGTACACCCACTTCAGACTAATCGGACGGCATCCTAGAGGTGGATCGACGAGCTCCCATGTCTTATTTTTCTCGATCGCCTTCATATCCTCCAGCATCGCCCGTCGCTAGTCTCCATCGCGCTCGGCCAGCACGAACGTGGGTGGTTCCTTTGCACTGACGAGCAGCAGCTCTTCCTGTGCCGTCGACGATGTCATCCAACCTGCAGAACCGTACCTCCTCACCTTCGTGGAAGGCGTCAATGAACTCAGTGATGTCACTTGGAGGTGAGGCGAACTCGATCGGCATCAATGGAGTTCCCTGTTCCGTGCGGAGTGCTTGGCACAGCACCTGGAGTGCTCGGCACCCCGATTGTAGTGCTCGAAACTACTTTTGGACAGCTCGTCACTACTCCTGTAGTGCTCGGCACTACTGTAGGAGTGCTCAGCCTCAGTCTTGGAGTGGTCGGCATCACTGCAAGACTTCTTGGCTCCACTACGGGAGTGCTCGACACCCGTCCTAGAGTGGTTGCCACCACTATAGGACCTCTCGGCACCACTCCTGGCGTGCTCGACATCTCTCCAGGAGTGCTCGGCACTCCTCCCGGAGTGCTCGACTGCCCCGGGAGTGCTCGGCTCTGTTGCTGGAGTGCTCGGCACCCCTCCAGGAGTGCTCGGCACCTCTTCCCCAGCGTCTCCACCGCCATGGATGACCAGGTGCTCGACGACAAAGGTGCTGGTGAAGCGCGTAACTTCCCCCATGCTCGGACTATTCCAGTCTCAAGCTGCCTTCTCGTCGAACACGACGTCGTCGTGAGACAAGTACCTTGTCTCCGCGTGGGTCGTAGAGCCGGTACGCCTTGGTACCCTCCGCATAGCCTAGGAACACCATTGGTGTGCTCTTGTCCTCCAGCTTGGTGAGGATCGTCTTCATCTTCCTGATGTGGCCGATGCAGCCGAATGTTCGGAGGAAGGACATGCTCGGCTTGCACCCATAGCAAGCTTTGAATGGTGTCTTGCCCGTCAGGGCCTTGGTCGGAGCACGGTTGAGGATGAACACCGCCGTGGTCACCATCTCACCCCAGAACCTTGCCAGCATGCCTTTGGTCTTCATCATAGATCGAGCCATGCCGACCACCGTCTGGTTCCATCTCTCCACCACGCCATTCTGTTGTGGCGAGTACGGCGCGGTGTGGTGTCGCACCACACCTTGATCCGCGCAGTACGCAGCGAACTCCACCGAAGTGAATTCGCCGCCGCGATAAGTCCTCAGCACGTGGAGCTTCTTGCCGCTCATGGCCTCCGCGCCCATCTTGAACTTCTTGATTGTCACAGCCGCTTCGTCCTTGCTTGTCAGGAGTTGCAGCCACATGTAGCGACTGCAATCATCCACGAGCAGGAGGAAGTACCGCCAACCACCATTTGTAGTTGGCGTGATCGGCCCGCAGAGGTCGTCGTGGATGAGCTCGAGAGCTTTCTCCGTGCGATATTTGGCCGCCTTTGGGAACGGTAGCCTCCTCCGCTTCCCGGCCAGGCAGCTGTAACATAGCTCGCCTCTATGCTTGATGGGGGTAGCCCTCGGACCATCTTCTCCAGCCGACCAAGCGTGTCAAAGCTGAGATGTCCGAATCAGGCATGCCACAGCCACGGCTCCTCGATATGCTTTGCCGCCAGGCACACCGGCTGCTTTACCTTCAGGTAGAGCAGGTACAACCAGTTCAGGGACCTCTTCACCTTAGCAACAAGTCGCTGCTCCCGGTCCCTGATCCTGAGGACTCCGTCCTTGATCAGTACCTCGCTGCCGCGCTCATCCAGCTGACCAATGCTGATGATGTTTGAACGTAGCTGCGGGATGCAATAATGTAATATACATCCATTAGCGCGCGGTGCTCTCCGTTCTAGCATCTAAAGATGATGGTGCTGCGCCCTTGGATTGCCACCCTTGAGCCGTCACCAAACTTCACCGTACCGGTAACATCGTCGTTGAGCTCGGAGAAGGATGCCTTGGAGCCCGTCATGTGGTTGCTGGCACCAGAGTCCAGATACCACCGCTGCTCCTGCTCGCCGCCCATACGTCTGAGGTGGACTTGGGCGCGCGGTTCGTCGAGGTCGACAGCCTTCAAGACCTTCCACCGTCGTCACCTCTCCCTTCTCCTCGGCCTCGACGTCGTGCAGTGCACAGAACATCGCCATCAGGATAGTGGCCTCATCATCATCATCAGCTTGCGCCAGATGAGCCTGAGCCTTCTTCTCCTGCTTGCGATTTGGGCACTCCAGTGCCCAATGGCCCATCTTCTCATAACGCCGGTAGGCGTTATGGTTGACTTGCTTCTTCTTCTCCGAAGAAGCCTTGTCGCGGCACTTGCTATCGCCACCGTGGCTGGAGGAGGCTACCCCGGAGTTCCTCTGAGCAGCCCACTCCTCCTCTGTCAGAAGCAATTTGCCGCTGTCATTCGTTGCTGTCGCCTGCTCCAAGCGCTCGTCCACTGCCTGCAGACGGTCTGTCACATCCTCAATGGTGAGGGTGGACAAGTCCAGCATCGTCTCTATGGAGAGAGCGGTCTGGATGTACTTTGCCGGCACGGAGTGAAGGTACTTAGAGACTGCCTCCTCTTCGTCGATGGTGATGCCGTAGCTCTTCAGCTTGCTGATAAGCGTCTGCAGGCGAAGGGAGAAATCCTTCACCGTTTCATCATCCTTGAACTTGATGTTGGCGTACTCCTGCTTCAGAAGCTAGGCCTTCGCCTTCTTTGCACGGTCGGAACCAACGCGCATCGCCACAATAGCCTCCTACGTCTCCTTAGCAGAGCTTTTTGCCCTCAACGGCTCCCTGTACTCCGTCGGTACAGCAGCGAAGATAGCCTCCAACGCTGACATGTCATCTTCTTCATTGTCGGTGCCGTTGTCAACAGCATTCTAGAGCCATCGGACTCTGAGCTTGACCTTCATGGTCACCGACCACTCTCCATAGTTGGTGCGAGTCAGCGTCGGCTAACTGGTGCCGCTGACCTCCCGCACCGTGCGAACAACGACCTCCCGTCGTGGTTGGCCAGCCACAACAGTGCCACTGCTGGCGCCCATCTCCGAACCGTTCGTCATCGCCAGCGGTTAGTCCGACGACGGCGCTTGTATGGCTCTGATACCACTTGTTAGCCCACAGGATCACCGGCTCAGGTGAGTCGACCACTCACCAGTCTTGCCGACCACGGCCGAGCACGACAGACATTGTCCGACCACACACTATGGTCAGAGGTAGAAGAAGAGGGAGAACAGAGCATACACACACAGCAGAGACCCCAGCGTTGGCCGGAGCCCTGTATAGGAGATGACAAATCTGAACTCTCTTTACTGAGTTGCAGTGGCAAAATATTTATACAACTCTATTCATCTAGTTCTAGTACAAATGCCTTCTCTTTAATAAAGACTAGATAACATAGCAGGCGACTCGGCGCTGCTGCTTGCATGTATGTGGCTACAGTCCGGCGGGTGAGCTGTTCGGTGCTCCGCTCAGGCGGCTTCTGATACCACCACAGGGGGCCTTTTTCGGCGCTGCCTTTCCCTGCCGTGCGTTCATACAAGAAAGCGGTAGATTATCTAACAATTTGTGCCCCTGTGGTTGGGGGAATGGACGAAATGAATGTGTTTTTGTCCAACCTAAAACAGTGGGTTGGACTCAGCATGGGCAGTCAGTTGGCATTTGTTCAGACTTGCCATGACCGTTAGACCAATGCAAGAGTGTCCGCTTTGTGATTGCAGGAAGCTGAACGCAAAAAGGTTTTTGATTTTCATTTTGATTCTGCAGGCAAGATTTCAGACTTCAGCAATGCGGATGTTGCAGTTGATCAGTACCACCGTTTCGAGGTAGCAGTTTGCTTTCACTTTCAGCGTGGCGTGTGTGCAAATCTGCACCGCATGATCTTTATGACCTCTACTAGGATGATCTACGTGACGTTTTGGCATTTCTGTTTTCAGGAGGACGTGCAGCTCATGGCGGACATGGGAATGGATGCTTATCGCTTCTCTATTGCCTGGTCAAGGATTTTGCCAAGTACGTGATGACTGGAATAGCAATGGTCCTTTAATTTGGTGTCATAATCCTCATATCTTTCAGCTTCTTTCGTTTGAACAGTTCGGTTACTGTTGTTTTACTCATTTTTGGCTTGAAATGTTCTTGTTGCTACAGATGGTACGGGCCAAGTCAATCAGGCTGGCATTGACCACTACAACAAAGTGATCAATGCACTACTATCAAAAGGTGAATGGAATGGAAACAGAACCTGAATACTGAATCAAAGTAAATGGTCTGAACTGCTTACATTTGATTTTTTCCCCCAGGAATTCAGCCATATGTAACCCTGTACCACTGGGACCTCCCCCAGGCCCTGGAAGACAGGTACAATGGATGGCTGGACAGGCAGATAGTGTAAGCCCCTCAAACTGCAACTCTTACTCTAGTCAGCAGTCACACACTCTTCATGACACTTCATTGACCCTTCATAGCATAAGTAAAAATGTCAATGCTCAAAATGCAGTAATGACTTTGCGGCTTACGCTGAGACATGCTTCAAGGCGTTTGGAGACCGTGTGAAACACTGGATCACACTCAATGAGCCGCACACGGTTGCCATTCAAGGCTACGACGCTGGGCTTCACGCCCCAGGGCGCTGTTCAGTGCTGCTCCATCTATACTGCAAGACAGGGAACTCTGGCACTGAGCCCTACATCGTTGCTCACAACTTCATCTTAGCTCATGCCACCGTTTCAGACATGTACAGGAGGAAATATAAGGTGAGCGCCTCTTTCTAACCTTTTCAATATATCAGAGTTCTAATATTATGTCTATGCGACTATGCTAATAAGTTGGTATTCTTTCTATTAAATTGTAGGCAGCTCAGAATGGTGAACTTGGGATCGCATTTGACGTCATCTGGTACGAACCAATGACAAACAGCACGATTGACATTGAAGCTACCAAAAGGGCACAAGAGTTTCAGCTAGGATGGTGAGCGACTGAACTGAAGTTATTGTTGGGAAGTTATTACATGGATGATTTCTCACTCGGTTTATCATGGAATGGAAGGTTCGCGGATCCGTTCTTCTTCGGAGATTACCCGGCGACGATGAGAACTCGGGTTGGAGAAAGACTGCCCAAGTTCACGGCAGATGAAGCTGCCCTTGTCAAGGGGGCTCTGGACTTCATGGGCATAAACCACTACACCACTTTCTACACGAGGCATAACGATACCAACATCATCGTACGACTGCTGAATGACACTTTGGCAGACACCGGAACCATCAGCCTGCGTGAGTTCTCATCATGTCTGCACGTTCATTTCAACTGAAAAAAAAACTGAAAATGAGAAACCTTAAAAACTGCTATCCTGCTACTGAGCCTTCAAACTTCAAACGTGCTAAGTTTCCTATCTGATTGTACAAAAACTGCTAGTGACACTTCAAATTTGAAACTGTGGTTGACTGATACTTTGCAATTTCACAGCCTTCGACAAGAACGGGAAACCCATTGGAGATAGGGTGAGTTGGGAAAAAAAAGACAACTTACTTGCATCATAGTACATATTAATATCATATTCGTATCAAATCTCTCAATGTGAAACTCCTCTGACGTCGCTGCACAGGCTAATTCGATATGGTTGTACATCGTACCCAGCGGGATGAGGAAGCTGATGAACTATGTCAAGGAGAGGTACAATAGCCCAACGGTTTACATCACTGAAAATGGTAAGGCCATGTGCTGTGAAACCTGGATTATATTAGCTTTGCTTTGCTAGAAGCTGGATTACATCGCTGCTCTGAAACTGCACTACGGATGGATTCTGATGCAGGGATGGACGACGGCAACAGCCCTTTCACTTCAATCCAGGACGCCCTCAAGGACAGCAAGAGGATCAAGTACCACAACGACTACCTCAACAACCTGGCTGCCTCCATAAAGTACTGAGGATCACTGTGCTTCCTCATGTTTAATTTCCAGTTTAATTTCCTGCGATCCCTGGCGCATACATGCCTGATACCTGGAAGCGTGATGCTGTTTGCAGGGAGGACGGGTGTGACGTGCGTGGGTACTTCGCGTGGTCGCTGCTGGACAACTGGGAATGGGCCGCCGGGTACACCTCGAGATTCGGGCTCTACTTCGTGGACTACAAGGATAACCTCAAGAGGTACCCCAAGAACTCGGTGCAGTGGTTCAAGACCCTGCTGGGCTCCAGCTGAAGGCGTCACGGATTGTCACTGGGCTGATTATTTATCCGATACCATACTCCGATTAGATAAAAGAGTGTGTCAAGCTCCAATGTAAATGTTATCCCCTCTAGTCGAAGAACATGTCGTGTAGCACTATGTTATCACCGGCGCCCATTATACAAGACGTAGGCCAATTAGTGGCTAGGGGCTGCTGGCCTAGGGGCCTAAAAACCCATAGTTATCTATTCCTATTATTATTAGAGAGAAGTATAAATACTTGTAAAGACTTGAGATTGGATTAAGCAGAAACAGAGTTGTTTCCGGCTTTCTGAAGGGAGCCGGGATTTCCTAACCCTAGCCGCCTCCTGCTGTTCTCGCGCGCAAACAGTGCCGCCGCTACTGTAGCACCGAGAGGGTTTTAGGGCGACAGCAGCAGCCGCCGCACTCTCGCCACCACGGCCCCTCGCCGACGTCGAGAGTACAGACCACGTCCTCCTCTCTTCCACCCCTACAACCTACGCAGCCACGCCGGTAGGGCATCAAGCCCTATCAACTTGGTACCAGAGCCCTTGCCGATCATGGCCTCCCCCGCTGCCTCCACGTCCTCGCCTTCGCCGGCGATCTCCGCTGCGCCGTTCTCCACCAAGGCGCCTTCCGCAACTTCAGGCGTGCTGGTGACCCGTCACTGCCGCTGGGATCGGTGGCTGCGCCGGTCCCGGTATTCTCGCCGGAACAGACGACGGCGGCAATCGTGGACCTCAGCCACTGCATGCGGGAGGTCCAGGAAACGCTCCAGGGACAGCTGACCATCACGCCGCCACTGCCCACATAGCCACCACCACCCCCTCTGCCGCCGTCATCAGCTGCATCCTACCCGGCCATCTCGTACCCCTACGGGATGCCCACCGCGGCACTGCCCTCGTCGCCGACCTCCGTATCGCTGCCGTCGACATATGTTTCGATTCAACAGATTAGTTTTCCACCGTCGCCGTCGCAGATCCCGGCATGGGCGCTCAGTTCCACAACAGAGCCAATCTACTCCACGACGACACCGCGGGCGTCCATACCGCAGGCGCTGACGACGGGCGTTGTCGTCACTCACGGTGGGCCGTTCGCAGCAGGCACCCTCTATGGAGGTGTCGATGGCACACTCCTCCATGGCAGCAGCCTCCTGCCACACTCCATCGCCTCTCCAACCATCGACAGCTTCCCTGCGGGTGGCAATCGGGGCGACGACCGGGGTGGTGATCATGGGCGCCACCGCCCGAAGTTCTACAAGCTGGAGTTCTCGACGTACGATGGCTCCGAGGACCCCCTGAACTGGCTCAATCACTGTGAGCGGTTTTTTAGGGGCCAGCGCACACCGGCCTCCGACCTTACCTGGTTGGCTTCCTACCATCTCAAGGGGACAGCCCAGACATGGTACTACGCCCTCGAGCAAGACGAGGGCATGCCTTCTTGGGATCGCTTCGTGGAGTTGTGTCGTCTCCGCTTCGGGCCGCCTGTCCGCGGTACCAGATTGGCCGAGCTGGGGCGGCTACCTTTCCACTCCACCGTCCAGGAGTTCTCTGACCGCTTCCAGGCGGTGTTGTGCCATGCGCGCGACATCTCCACAAAGCAGAAGGCCGAACTCTACGTTGGCGGCCTCCCGGAGCACATTCAGGTGGATGTGGAGATGCGGGATCCACCCGACCTTCAGACCGCCATGTATTTGGCCTGGGCATTCGAGCGTCGCACGACGACCATGCCTCCAGCGCCTCTCCAGCGGGGCGACCGACCTCCTCAGCGGTCTGATTTTCCCCCGCGCGTGCCAGGAGCGGGTGCTCCTCCAGCTGGAGCCCCTGTGCCCCCAGTGGGCGGACCAGCAGCGGCGAACGGGGCCCCCCCAGTGCGCCAGTTCCGCTGCCTCACGACAACCGAGCAACTGGAGCGGCGTCGACAAGGGCTTTGCTTCAACTGTGATGAGCCCTACGTCTGCGGCCATGTGTGCCCACGGCTCTTCTACCTCGAGTCGGACGACTACATCGACGACAACCTGGGGAATGCCGCGGCGATGGATAACGTCGCCAACCCCGAGGCTTCGAAGGCCGAGGAGCCTGCGGCCGCTAATGCTTTCGTGGTCTCTCTACACGCACTTGCAGGGATGTGCACGGACAATACGATGCTACACCCAGTGATGGTTAAAGGGGAGTGGTTGTTGGCGCTACTCGACACCGGTTCCACGCACAACTTCCTCCATGGCGCGACGATGCGCCGCCTATGGCTCGCCCTGACGGGCGGTGAACAGCTCCGTGTCACCGTGGCCGACGGCGACCGGCTCCCTTGTGAGGGCATTGCTCGCCACGTGCCCATCCGCATCGGCTCGGAGTCCTTTTCCATCACATGCGTCGGATTGGACTTGGGCGATTTCGACTTCATCCTCGGTGTCGACTACCTACGGACCTTGGGTCCCATCTTGTGGGATTTCGAGGCCATGACACTCTCCTTCTGGCGTGAGGGCAGACGCGTCCTTTGGCAGGGCGTGCGCAGCCTCGACGCGGCGGCTCCACGGCAGCACCTCGCTGCACTCTCCGCCGACACCCAACAGCCGTTGATGGACTTGCTGCTGCAGCAGCAGAGCGCAGTCTTCGACGAGCCCACAGGGCTCCCACCGCACGGCACAGTCCCTCGTCGACGCGTTCCGCACCCTCTACCCTGCCTTCCAGCTCGAGGACGAGCTGTTTGTGCAGGCGGAGAGAGATGTTATGACCGGCACCCATTATACAAGGCGTAGGCCCATTAGTGGCTAAGGGCTGCCGGCTTAGGGGCCTAAAAGCCCATAGTTATTTATTCCTATTATTATTATTAGAGAGAAGTATAAATACTTGTAAAGACTTGGAGATTGGATTAAACAGAAACAGAGTTGTTTCCGGCTTTCTGAAGGGAGCCGGGATTTCCTAACCCTAGCCGCCTCCTGCTGTTCTCGCGCGCAAACAGTGCCGCCGCTACTGTAGCACCGAGAGGGTTTTAGGGCGACAGCAGCAGCCGCCGCACTCTCGCCACCACGGCCCCTCGCCGACGTCGAGAGTACAGACCACGTCCTCCTCTCTTCCACCCCTACAACCTACGCAGCCACGCCGGTAGGGCATCAAGCCCTATCAACTTGGTACCAGAGCCCTTGCCGATCATGGCCTCCCCCGCTGCCTCCACGTCCTCGCCTTCGCCGGCGATCTCCGCTGCGCCGTTCTCCACCAAGGCGCCTTCCGCAACTTCAGGCGTGCTGGTGACCCGTCACTGCCGCTGGGATCGGTGGCTGCGCCGGTCCCGGTATTCTCGCCGGAACAGACGACGGCGGCAATCGTGGACCTCAGCCACTGCATGCGGGAGGTCCAGGAAACGCTCCAGGGACAGCTGACCATCACGCCGCCACTGCCCACATAGCCACCACCACCCCCTCTGCCGCCGTCATCAGCTGCATCCTACCCGGCCATCTCGTACCCCTACGGGATGCCCACCGCGGCACTGCCCTCGTCGCCGACCTCCGTATCGCTGCCGTCGACATATGTTTCGATTCAACAGATTAGTTTTCCACCGTCGCCGTCGCAGATCCCGGCATGGGCGCTCAGTTCCACAACAGAGCCAATCTACTCCACGACGACACCGCGGGCGTCCATACCGCAGGCGCTGACGACGGGCGTTGTCGTCACTCACGGTGGGCCGTTCGCAGCAGGCACCCTCTATGGAGGTGTCGATGGCACACTCCTCCATGGCAGCAGCCTCCTGCCACACTCCATCGCCTCTCCAACCATCGACAGCTTCCCTGCGGGTGGCAATCGGGGCGACGACCGGGGTGGTGATCATGGGCGCCACCGCCCGAAGTTCTACAAGCTGGAGTTCTCGACGTACGATGGCTCCGAGGACCCCCTGAACTGGCTCAATCACTATGAGCGGTTTTTTAGGGGCCAGCGCACACCGGCCTCCGACCTTACCTGGCTGGCTTCCTACCATCTCAAGGGGACAGCCCAGACATGGTACTACGCCCTCGAGCAAGACGAGGGCATGCCTTCTTGGGATCGCTTCGTGGAGTTGTGTCGTCTCCGCTTCGGGCCGCCTGTCCGCGGTACCAGATTGGCCGAGCTGGGGCGGCTACCTTTCCACTCCACCGTCCAGGAGTTCTCTGACCGCTTCCAGGCGGTGTTGTGCCATGCGCGCGACATCTCCACAAAGCAGAAGGCCGAACTCTACGTTGGCGGCCTCCCGGAGCACATTCGGGTGGATGTGGAGATGCGGGATCCACCCGACCTTCAGACCGCCATGTATTTGGCCTGGGCATTCGAGCGTCGCACGACGACCATGCCTCCAGCGCCTCTCCAGCGGGGCGACCGACCTCCTCAGCGGTCTGATTTTCCCCCGCGCGTGCCAGGAGCGGGTGCTCCTCCAGCTGGAGCCCCTGTGCCCCCAGTGGGCGGACCAGCAGCGGCGAACGGGGCCCCCCCAGTGCGCCAGTTCCGCTGCCTCACGACAACCGAGCAACTGGAGCGGCGTCGACAAGGGCTTTGCTTCAACTGTGATGAGCCCTACGTCTGCGGCCATGTGTGCCCACGGCTCTTCTACCTCGAGTCGGACGACTACATCGACGACAACCTGGGGAATGCCGCGGCGATGGATAACGTCGCCAATCCCGAGGCTTCGAAGGCCGAGGAGCCTGCGGCCGCTAATGCTTTCGTGGTCTCTCTACACGCACTTGCAGGGATGTGCACGGACAATACGATGCTACACCCAGTGATGGTTAAAGGGGAGTGGTTGTTGGCGCTACTCGACACCGGTTCCACGCACAACTTCCTCCATGGCGCGACGATGCGCCGCCTATGGCTCGCCCTGACGGGCGGTGAACAGCTCCGTGTCACCGTGGCCGACGGCGACCGGCTCCCTTGTGAGGGCATTGCTCGCCACGTGCCCATCCGCATCGGCTCGGAGTCCTTTTCCATCACGTGCGTCGGATTGGACTTGGGCGGTTTCGACTTCATCCTCGGTGTCGACTACCTACGGAC